CCCAGCCCTCCTGCCCAGCTCCACTTGGAACCACATGGCACAGCCCTGGTGCAGGAAGCTCAGGAAAAGACGCTCACAAGAGCTGGAGGAGGAGGAGGAGGAAGGACGAGAGGCCACCTGGCTTCCAGCCTGGAGAGATCGATGGCTCTCTCAAGTCCACGCACCGGTTCCCCAATTAAGGCAAAAAGTCCATTATAAGGAGCACCAAGAGCCAGGCACACAGCCCCCTTCTCGCTCCACCGAATAGACTGCGGCACCCAGGGAGCTCACGGGAGCTCCCAGCTCACGCCACCGCCCCGGACACCAGCCGGGATGACACCCACCCGCCCGGCCCTGCCCCTGGGCAGGGTGCTGGAGGGGAGGAGGAGTGGGTGGGAGAGAGACAGAAGGAAGGAGAGAGGGGCTGGCTGCCAGCCCTCCAGCTGGATGCACTCCCATCTCTCAGCACCCAGGAAAACCAGAAGCAAAAGGGGAAGGGAAGAGACTGGAGAAGCTGCAACGGTGTTTGAGCCCCTACAACTGTGAAAGGAGGCACCTGGCATGGACAAATCCCACTCCCCTCTCCCAAGGCCCTGCAGTCCCACCCCCGGCACACTGGGATGGAAGGTATTGCCTGCAGCCAGGCGGGCCTGGGGGTGCTGCTGCCCTGCCTTTGGGAGCTCTGCCCCCTACCCAGGAAGCCCAGACCCCCACGCCCACCCTCGCCACACCAGACTGGGCTGCGCTGGCCTCTCATGGCTCTGTCCACACAGCCACCACTCTCCCCTGGTGTCCAAACCTTGTTGCATGACACAGGGGAAGCGATGCTGACGGGCGCCCACCTCCAGTGCCATCACCCCTGCCTGTGCCCCCCCTCACCCTGGGCAGTGAGTGGGAGAGCTACCCTGAGCCACTCCAAGCCCACGTGATGGCATGAGAGTTACATACTCTGCAGAGGAGAAGGCCACCTCGAAGTTGTGGCGGCGGTTCTGAGGCGTCAGCTGGCTGTAGTCAAACGCCTCAGGGAAGAAGTTGTGGACCAAGGCACAGAAGGCCATGCCATCGCTCCAGCTGGATGAGAAGTTCTGGATGTCCACATGCTGTGAGGGCAGGAGAGTTACCGGGGGGCAGAGTGACCAGTGCTGGGGAGGGGGAAAGGAGGTGGCACTCACCTCGTAGCCTCGGGTCTTCGCTCTGCACCAGTCCAGCAACATCTGCTTGATGCTGTTGGCGTTGGGCACACCGAAGCTGGAGGAGCGCTGCACAGCGGTGGTGCGTGCTGCCGCAGGGTTTGGCATGCTGTGGCAGAAGATACAGGGTGTTATCCACATGGCACCCACTGCCCCAGCCAGCCTGCCTACAGCCCAGCCTCACCTCCCACCCTCCTTCTGCAGTTTCTCCATCATGGCCTTGCGAGCCTGCGAGGCCGATGTCTTGGGCAGGCTCTGAGCTTTCATCAGCTCCTTCTTCTTCTCAGCCTGGCGCCGCTCCAGCGCAGCCAGGCTGCTCTGCCTGGAGGCACTCTCGTCTTCACGGTCGAAGATGCTGGGAGAGAGACAGATGAAACTAAGGGGGCCATGGGCAGCCCAGCGAAAGGCACATGTTGGCCTCAGCCCATTGCCCGTCCTGGCACTCTGGAGACCTCCATGTCCCTGGGACAGAAGACGGATGGCTTAAGGTCTCCGGCTGGCAGACACATCTCCATGCCCATGGAGCAACCTATGAGGACTGCTGGAGACAGCAAGTGTTCCCCAAGGATCAGGAGGCTTTGGGGACATCCCTGCACAAGGACACCGCAAGCTGGGCAGAGAGGGTTTGTGCAAGCAGACAGATGACAGGGACCACTTGGGGCTGGCCCCAGGGAGGCACCGCCGCTCACCTGCCTGTCTTCTTGGAAGAAGAGCTATAGGATGATTTAGTTTGAACGAATGTGCTGTTGCCACCTGCAGAGAGAGAGAGAGAGAGAGAGAGAGAGAGAGAGAGAGAGGCCTTGGGCAGGAGCCGAGAGAAGCAGTGCCTGGGAAGTGGGGGGCTCTGCCCACACCACAGGCAAGGATGGCTCGGCGGCAGCAATGCCTCTGGGGTTATGCCCAGAGGATGCTGCAGGGAATGGGCTCTTACTATCCGATCTCTTCACATAACTTGACTCCATGGTTGTGGTACGGGAGGTCTTGGTGCCATCATCTGCAAGGGAGCAAGGCAACAGGGGATAAGCTGGGGCCGGGAGCTGTAGACACCCACTGCTGCCAAGCAGCCTCACATCCACACAGGGAGAAGTCCCACATGGCAGACCCACAGCCAGGGCAGGCAGAGGGGGGACAGACAGCATGTGCCCCTCAGGCAGAGCAAAGAGTCCAGTACAAAGGAGTGAAGAGCTGGAGCATCCCTCAGCCCCCTGCAGCAACTCCTTGAGCCACCCCGGGACTGGGAGAGCAGAGGTGTGGGGGACAGGAGACAGGCCCAGGGTGCAGACAAGGCCCCTGCCACCCCGATGGTGCAGAAGATCAGGTGGGAAGTCACCAGAACAGATCCCTTAAAGACCCCCAGGCAGGCTCTGGGCAAGCCAGAGGAGATGCAGCAAAATTTGGCCCTGGACTACAGTCCTGCTCCCAGAATGGTCAAGCCAGACCCAGGAGCAGTGGAGAAGGGCTGTGGCGGCAGAGTGCTGGGAAAGCCTCTGCACAGCCCCCCAAAGGGATGGCAC